CCAGGTCTGTGGGTGCTCTCTCTTTCTACCTGTGACCTCACTGTGTGGCCCTCCAGGACTTGTGGGTAATAAATTTTGTTCATTAATGTTTCTTGATGGTTTCTTACTGATGGTGCATCCGGTGATCACAAAAGCCACAACGGCTGGTCCAGCCCTGACGTTAGCCCTGGGTGGAGGCAATGTCTGTGTGGATCCTACCAGTAATACGGCCCGGGCTAGTGCCTCAGGCATTCCTAACCGAGAGCATCACTATCGATAACATGAAACAACACAAGAGCACCTGTATCCAAATTTTGAGAGGATCGTCATTATTACCCTGGTTGTAGGCAGTTTGATAATGGTAGATTTTAATAAATAAATAAATAAATAAATAAATAAATAAATAAATAAATAAATAAATAAATAAATAAATAAAAGCTCTTCGTTTTTGTTTAGCAGTGCCATTCTGAATAAGCTCCCACCGCAATTAACCTCATTATAACCAATACATTGGCAAAGATTACGAGACAAATAATGTAATTTTATTAATATAAAGTTATTTTATCATTTGAAAGCCTGATGTAAATCAGATCTGTATTTGAACCAATACTTCATTTGGATTTTTAATAGATTGCATAAACAATTTCATCATCACTTCTAGGATTTTTTCCCCTATCTAATATATTGAAATGCATGAAGTACTCTTAGTTTTAGGAAAGGGAGTATATCAGATATATCTTCTCTTCGTATCTATTACTGTTAGCATATTGAGAGTCTTACAGAGGTAGAAACAGATAGCAAATAAGGAGTTTAGGAGTTCTTCTGTTTTGATAAGTATAAAAAATTCAGTTTTTAATTCTAATTTTTAAAATTATGATAAATAGACATATCAATGACATATGTCACTGTGTCTTATACATGTTTCCTGAATTTTCAATACCTTTATATAACTTGTAAAATGAGGGTACAACTAAAGGTTCCTAGATTATGACATAATTATTATAAAATTAAAATTACATGATATGATAAAAATAGAAAGTATTTTCAAATTAAACACACCATGCTAAGGTAATATTAATACTAGAAATCACATTAGGTCATTTGGAAATTTGGAACTGTTTTGCAAATGATCATATTTAACTCATTAAAATTTATCACATTGACCTAAAATAAAAAAAAAACTACACTAACATTTATGAGAGAGAGAGAGAGAGAGAGAGAGAGAGAGAGAGAGAGAGANAGAGAGAGAGAGAGAGAGAGAGAGAGAGAGAGAGAGAGAGAATCTTTTGAATGATAGGGTTAATCAGGCCACTTAAAATACTGCAATTTCCAAAAGCATAAATTAAAATGTGTTGTTGCAATGGTCTTGTGTAATGAGAAAAAAAATTAAGAGATCTTTAAAATGTTCAGATTTTAGATATATGATATAAATCAAGAATACTATAACATGGAGAGTTTATAAACTGTTATATTCAAGGAAAGATGATAGATAAGTGCCAAATGCTTTATACAATTTTTATCTTATTTTTTCATGTAATTAATTCAAAATTGGTTTGAAATAAAAAAAAAGTGATCAATACACTAACACCAAAGAATTTTGAAGGATTAAAACTATAATTACTTTAGGAAAAAGAATATACCATTTCATTAATTGTATAATGCAACTACATCTTAACACATTTGTTTTACTAAAAAGAACTGAGCAACAATCCTGTTGTATACTGAGTGCTGATTATGTTTCCTGAATTCCATATATTATCCAGTTCTCAAGACAGCCTGGGAATTGAGGGCTTCTATTAAGCATTTCTCATTTTCCTGATGAAAATGCTGAGGCTGAATTTGGTTCACTGTCCAAGACCAAAGACCATGGAAACAGATAAACCAAAACTCACATCGAAGAAGTCTCCAGGTCTCACTAGTCTCCATCTTTCCATGATCACTCAAGTTTGCTCTCTTCTCTGTGTTTTAACACTTCACTTGTAACAAAATACTACAATTGCTAATTTTTCTTCCATATATCCCTCCAAATAGGGGTGTATCTCATGTACAAACTTAAGAGATGTGTAAATTCTCAAGGTTATGACTGACAATTTGAGTAATTTCTTTTGTTCTATTTCATTTTGATTTTAATATAGCCACATCTGTGATTCTTTAAATTTATTTTAGATAGGATATTCATCATATATTAGGATGGAAAACTCAGAAATAATAGTAGTGGTGAAACAGTGTCAATGGAGATATGAACAGTGATTCATTTGTGGTCATTTATTAAATAGATAAATGTTACAGTTTATAAAATTTGAGGAAATGGCATTTAAACCTAATAAAATCAAGTTTAGTAGTTTACTTCAGGTTTTTGAATGAGAGAGAGTGATGAAACTAGTAAACAAAAAAAATCTGCAAGCTGAAAATATTTAGTTCTTTTTAGTTCTCATATTTTCTTAGCAAACATATTTTTATTATATCTTTAAACCATAATTTTAAAACCTTTCACTAGTTTATAAATACATGAATTCCAATTAAAATATAATTGCATCTGAAAGCTCTGATTTAATAGGTAATGCACAATTAAGGGAACAGCATATAGCAACTTAAAAAGTACAAAGTATAAAATTCCTAACAATGTATATGTACTGACCGAATTCCTCACTCCCTCAATTATGAACTAGAACATTAATCATGTAGGTGAGCTTTGTGACTTTCTTCAGCCCTCGATTGTTGAAGAAAAGAGGAAAAAAAGGACTGACATTTAATGTCAGTGCTACTATTTTTGTTATATAAAACAGACACTATGGATTGACTAACTTACAAAATACATTTTTCTTACTACATATCTTGGTGCCATTTGAAAAATATTATATTTCAACTGTTAAGTAAAAAATGAGGATACTCTATATTGTGTGTGTGTGTGTGTGTGTGTGTGTGTGTGTGTTTCTTTGAGGTTTGCTTATGTGTTCCTTTGAGAGAAATATTAATTATTTTAACATTTTAAAAGTCCATAGTGTAAAGCTCACAAAACATCTTAGGAAACCTATAAAAAAGTAAATTTACTTGAAAAAGTAGAAAATTGATTTCATTTTAAAAGGCTGGATAAAATGCAATAGGTAAGAAATTACTTAAGATGCATGTGAAGAAATACAAAAGAATGTTGTTAAATACTTCACCTTGAAATAAAACATTCTTCTCTTATTTTGAGAGGAAACGCATTAATTTAATTGCTAGCTAGTTTAGGTACAATACCTTTAATTTCTATATTTTTAAGGCCTGACATAGTTCCACATATATAGTAGGTACTCAATATTTGTTGAAGGAGGAAAGAATAATCAATTAGTAGGCTATAAATAGGTCTTTAAAATAAAATTTTAAATCAATATGTCTCCCCCCATTTTTAGTAAAGTGATTTGTTTGCACGATCAGAACTTAACATTATCATCAAAATTTTGTTATTATATAATAATTACATTTTATTTGAATTACTGTTTATAAAATTCTATGAAAAATAATAAATTAAAATAAAGTAGAACTTTAGATATTTTTCATTTCATATAATATCTCAAAGCATTATTTACTGTTTTCTTCATCTTTATTACTTTTGTCCCATCTTTACATAAAATGTCTTGGAGAAAGATCTGTAAACTTTCTCACATGTAGATTAAGCTCAAATACAATTTGTTTACTAATCCTAAAATAAATCTAGGTATTTTTGAGAAACTTTTATTGTTACTTACACTAAATTTTAGCTTTCAATCTTGTACATTGTGTAATATAGCTGATATGATTAAAAATTAGCAATTATCAGATATTGTAATAATTTGGGGGACAAGAGAAAAACACTATAACTGTTAAATAAAAGCTAAGAGCTCAACATAATATTGGGAATTAATAAAAATTCCAAGAAAAACAGTCTAATTGAACAATCTTTACAAGTTAAGGAAAATAACTCTAAGTTGATCCTTGGTACAATTTCAATTATATATATATATATATATATATATATATATATATATATATATATATAAAANAAATTATATATATAAATATAAAGTCCTTGTAATTTCAAGTTAAAATTGTTAAGTTTAACACATATTAGTATAGCCAACATGACACAAAACAGTTATAAGAAGTAGAAAAAGACAGACTTAAATAGGACAAATTATCTCTGAACATTGTTTATACAGAAATAAAGTTTAAAATGTGTTTTTTAAAAATGCACTCAAAAAACTCTTTTTATTTTTTCATTATTTACTAACCACTTAATAACTGCTCAGGGATGCTTTTTTATATTCCTGAACCATAACATAGTTATTTTTTTTGCCCTTAAGGATTATTTCCATTTCTTTAAGGTCACTGTCCTTGAGGCAAAAATGTTTTTTTATAAACTGATATCAGAAATTACTTATGGAGTGAAATATCAATTTCTATCATCCTGGAGAAATCTAGAACATTTGCTTTTAGAACATTCTGTTCGTAGAATTAAGTAGATCCACTCAGCAAATCACTTTAGGATAACATGCTGAAAATTAAAGTTCTATGTTTTTATATAGTTTATAAATGGCCCCATGGATTATGTCAATTTTAGAACAAATTTAACACTATAGGTATTTTAATCTGGTTGCTGAGGAATAGCAAGTCATTAATATTAAACTATGATCTTAGTAAAGCAAACGCTATCTCTGTATCCTTGAACATCTTAGTTCTTTGTTTGCACTTACAAGGTAAGACAAAAACACAGTGTCCCATGTTCATATTTTACATTTCCTTAATGTTGTAGCACTCCAACTATTTTTAACCTATATTCTGGAATAGTTTCATAATAGTCACAAGTGACACTAAAATATAAAATTTACCACCTTGTCTCATATTCCACTTCAATAACCCTAACTGACAGTGATTTAAGTGACTTCATTACTTCTTATAATTAAGTAAAATTGGATCTCAATTTTTTTCTACCCTTTAAAAAAATCCCTTTAAAAGCTCCATTTAATGTGTTTTCCAGGCCATAACAAAGAAGCATACTGTACCTCTTATGCTGCTGGTTGATGCAGATGTGGTTGGGCTGGTTGTTATGGCTACAGAGGTTGTGACTGTTGCAGTGGTAAGGGAGGGGATGATAGTAGTGGGAAGCAAAGTGTTGGGAACATCTGGTGAGTGGAAAAAAACAAAATATAAAACAAAATCATATCATGCAAACAAAAGAGAAACACAAATGATTCAAATTATAAATACATATATCTTATTTAACTTTAACAAGCTTAAACAGATTATCAGGTACAAAGCTGGCTGTGCCACACAGTTCTTGTCATTTTTTGTTCACTGCTTTTTCATGCTTCCACACAGCACAAAAACTTGGAGCCATGATTGAGAATAAACTTATTGTTCACAACATTTAGAGTGAAATTTAAAATGACAAGAATTTATTTGTTCACTGAGTCATTTAAAAGTTTGACATGCAGTAGCAAAATACAGATAGGTAAAACGAAAAATGACATGCTTTGTCAACGAAGTAAACAAAGAAACAACACACAGAAATAAACACAAGTAACACCACCATATAAGATTAAAGAAATGTTAACGATGGATGAGTATATGTGTGTTAAATGCTTCCTCATTTTTTTCTTTTAAGAAAACATAATGATAGGTAATAGGATGAGAGCAATCTTTAGAAACAAACAAAAAAAGAAGCCAATCGTTATTATATTATTATTATTATTATTATTATTATTATTTTGCTTTTCCTTTGTTCACAAATGATGTTAATATACAGCTTAGAGTCTTTTGATCTTACCCTGATTAGCTGGTAACGCCTTCTAACAATTTTGCAGTACCTAGGAGTCTTTAACAAGTATTGAGTCAACTAGCGTGAAACCCAATATTCTGAAAGGTTTATGACTTATTTAGCATACCTTGGAGAGGTTATTAAATGTAGCCTTGAACCATAACATTCATCCCCTAGTCCATAATTAGTAAAAGTTGCCAAAAGTTAACAGTGGATTCAAATACAGAGACCATAATAAACAGAAAGAATTGCTTAGAGTTTAACACCAAAATCTTCCTTCCTTTCACGCAAAACACGCTGAGAATTTGAAGAGCAGTGTAGAGAACACTGAAACAATACAGCCAGTGTCAAGCTGTGAGAACTTCAATACGATCCTCAGAGAGTCAAATCTTGTCTCAAGTGGATAGGCATATAATTTACACAGTGAGGAAATTAGAAACAGTTCACAAATTACCTGTAATTACTGAGCCGGGGTTTGATTTTACATGTTTCCCACACAGCCCCAGTATATTCAGAGTGTTTGACAGATTATTTTACTATTAAAAGGTTTCCTGTCATTCTCTCAGTTAAAGCCTTTGAGACACACCAAAATTTTCTAGTTCTTTGCTTCTGGTAAATAGCCTGACTCGATCCTCAGACTTGAATCTGCTGAATTCTCAACGCGGGAGACACAGCACGAGATCACTCTCTTATCTCCGGTATTGATGTTTACACCTGTCTTTCAAAAGGGAAAATGCTTTCTGGCTGGTCAAATTAAGAAAACTGAAAATTCAAGGGTGCTACATGAATCTCTAGGGAAAATGGCTATTGCCTGGAGTGCAATAATCATGATCACAAAGTAGAACTGACTTTAACAACATTATAAATGCATGAATATTATGTATATGTGTATATACACCCCTCGTTTGCTAATTTTTATAATACCTTCTTATTTTCATGGTAAGCTTCCCTAAATAGTTTGCAGGCTGGATGTAAATGAAACATGTTTTATAACTTTTTAAAAAATGTGAACTTGTCATTTTCAAAAGTATCTAAAATAGAAAATAATACATTCTTCATCTGTTAGCAAAATCATTTGTTCCTTAGGATCTCAAAATATATTTATTTAATTAATGCAAAGGGACATGTCTTCCAGGATATCAAATATAAGAACACACAATAATATTAGTCCTTTAACACTCAATGTAAATGACATAATATTACCAAACCTTTTACAGAGTATACAAATATTAGGTTATTTGCTATCAGACAATGGGTTAGAATGAGTCTACTGGATCTGAAAAGCAGCCTTTCAAAATCATGTGATTCTTCAGAATTGGAATACAAATAACAAGTATTGGTTTTTTATTTTGTTTTGTTTTTAGTGTAGCCATAAAAAGCCGTGATATGGATCATTTTTCCTTATTCCATATCAATGAAATGGGTAATAATTCTTGATTTGTTTTGGAGTTTGTATATATTATCAGGTACTTTGAGCATTTTTGTATATACCAAATAACATTCTTATTTCCTATAATTGTGAAAAATGCATGAAATGCATGCTTTTTCCTAGGCTAATTTTCCAAAAATGAAAAAAAAAACCAAAAACAAATCATTTTCATAATTGTTAATCTACTTTAAGAGAAGAGCCCTTGAGTACTTTTCAGTGTCCAGATAGATGAGATGATACTACAAATTATTACTGACTCACAGTCTGGCTCCTGCTTGTCTGCTCACCATCCTCTCTCACCCTCCCCTTTTGACTTCGTATGTGCCTCAAAACAAATTGGCTGAAAGCAATTTGATGCGAAGCACCTTGGCCAATATGGCAACTGGATCAAGAAAATGACCTGCTAAGAAATCTTTCCCAGTCATTGTTACATGTTTGTAATCACTGCTAACTTTATTTCATCTATGTGTTCTAAAATATTTTAAACATTTTTAATTTTTCAAAAAAATTTAGGACTTCTTCATTCCGTTCTTTTTACAGTACATTGATATTCATGAACTTATTTCAACTCTATTATGAATTAGCAGAAGTTGAAATACCTAGTCAATACCTTCTCTGTCTTCAATATAGACAGGCAATTGCTATTTTATAAAGAATACATTTTCAAGACCACAACCTACAACTTCTTCCCTCAACAAATTTCCTTGGTAAAAAAATAAATCTTTGCCCACACATTCTGCTACTTTGAAAGCAGTGTGAGCCTTTCCTGAGATTCATGTCCTCCATGTCTCTTTATGAACTTTATCCATTTTCACCTAATTTGAAACTTTCAGAGAAAGGGAAAAAGGCCAGGAGGGCTCACTAAACAAATCCTTTGTGATCAGTGGTGAATGATCACAACAAATTTATGAGTTGTCTGTTAATATCCCCATTTAACAGATGAGATAACTTTGAGATAGAATTTCTTTGTTTCTAAAATTACATATAGAATTGTGTATGTGTGTATACATATATGTTATATGTGTTACATATGCTATATTACAGAGAGAATATTTTATTTAATTAGTATAATGAAGAGATATCTCCAACACTTCCATCTCAAGATCATTCATTTTAGCGTCCTAGTATAACTTTTCTCAAAGCAAAATTTACAACACTGTCTTGTCTTCCTAATTCCAAACACCTATGTCTCTGGTTTTCACTCCTACAAGCAAGTGGCAACATTTAGCAATTAGTAATTGTTAGTAATTGGTCCTGGTTCTGTGCATTTACTTTTGGCTTTTTATTTAGACATTGATTATAAAAATGGAGCTACATTTTTGTAAGAAAATATAAAATTGGATACACTAGAACTAATCACTTGCCTCATTTTTGATATATGTAGAATCCTGTACATTTTAAAAACAATTATGCTGTCAATACAAAGAATACTCAATCGAATATAGTATAGTGTAGTATAGAAAATGCACATCATTTTTCTCCAAGACATCCATTTTTATCTTTCCTAAGAAGCCAAATGCACAAATTTATATGCCGAAGAATTATACAGATGCACACATGCATAATAAAAATAACTAAATCCTAGGTCAACATCAATTTACTAATTCTATTCATAAATCAAGATAATGTGTAGTCATATTAATAATTTGCTGAATATGACTTGTCAATTTTAGTTCTTAATATATGCCTCACATGTTAACATCCTATGATTAAAGAATATTTGAACATGGACACTGAGATAACTAGAAATAAAAATAGAGAAATTAATGGCATGTAATGTATAAACTACAAATATTAAAATTCAGAAATGATAACTATCTAATAGGTCCATCAATTAACTTCATGGTAGTTCATCTCTGATTTTTACAATACAAATGATGGGCTCCAATTTTCATTTTCCTTGGAGAGTGTGTTAATTGAATCAAATACTATTAAATGTGCCTGACCAAAAAAAAAAAAAAGTGGTTACAAAGAAGTTCCGCATCTATAATTTGCAAGAGAAATTAACTGTATTATATATTTTTTTAGACATTAAGACATAAAGAATAAAAAATAGGTAATTGATAAAATACATAGCGGATAGAGTTCGATCAGTAGCAGCAGCGGAGAGCGGACCCCAGAGCCCTGAGCAGCCCCACTGCTGCGGTAGCTGGCCAGAGTCACCATCACCGTGAGCAGTGAGCTGCTCACTGGTGAGCAGTGAGGCTGAGGCCCAGCAGCCTCCGGCGCCCCATTCTTCAGCGCTGCAGACACCAAGCCCTGAACCACCCACAGCAGCACAGGGAGCCACGGCTGAGCGGCCTTACATCAGTGGCGACTGCTGGTAGGGACAAGAAGGTCATCGCAAGGAAGGTTTTGGGAACAGTCAAATGGTCCAATGTAAGAAATAGATATGGTTTCCTCAACAGGAATGGCACCAGGGAAGAGGGTTGGTACACCAGACTGCCCTAGAGAAGAAGAACCCCAGGAAGCACCTTCGCAGTGTAGGCGATGGACAGACTGTGGAGGTGGATGTTGTTGAAGGAGAAAAGGGAGCAGAGGCAGCGAATGTCACAGGCCCTGGTGCAGTTCCACTGCAAGGCAGTCAACACGCAGCAGCCCGTGACCGTGATAGACGCTATGCATGTCTCAGGATTCCTCCACGCAATTACTCGCAGAATTACCAGAACAGTGAGGGTGGGGAAAAGAATAAGGGATCCGAGAGTGCTCCTGAAGGCCAGGTCCAACAGCACCGTCCCTACCGCAGGCGACGGTTCCCACCTCAGTATATGCGGAGGCCCTACAGGCGCCGACCACAGGATTCCAACCCCCCCTGAGCAGGGAGAAGTGATGGAGGGTGCTGACAACCAGCGTGCAGGAGAACAAGGTAGGCCGGCGAGACAATACTCAGTATTCAATCATATGAACAGTCATGGGCCTCTGCAGGTGGATGGCAG